CAAGCAGCATCAACCGCTGTGGAAGAGACTCGAACAAGTGTCAGGCACCAAGATGGTGCTATCACTTCATCAATCACACTAAGTGTGTTCCTGTCTTTGCCACGGTAGTCTTCTTCAAAAAGTGACAGTAGAAACAAATTGTTTAATGATATTTCCCACTACCACAGTCGACGGAAGCACCGCATTGCTCCAAAAAATCTATACCAAGAATGACATTGTGCGAATAACGAGATAGAATCAGATATTCGGATACAAATACTTTCCCAGCCAATTAAACACCGACACCAAGAGGATGAAGCCACTCCTCGCCTACACCACGAAAGGTAATAGTATCGTTCCATGAAAACATGACTTTGCGACCTAAGCGGTTTCTGAAAGCGAGGCTTATCACAGACACAGTCGCCCCAGTGTCAAATAACGCCATCGTGGGTACTCCATTTATCAACAAATTCATTTTGTTTTTGAGCATAACAACAGGCAGAGGCATATCTTGAAAAGATCGTCCGGCGACCTCACCTCGACTGGCCGCGGGTGCTAGTTTCCCAGTGGCGGAGAGGAAGAACGACGCAGAGGAGACGGCGCACGACGAGAACCGTTGGATGGCGGTGTCAAACTCCACTCGGATGCTGGCGAATCGCTGCGTCTGGTCTTGCGTGAAAAACGGTCCCTTGAAAACAAGTCGGGCATCCGCAGGTCATAATGAAGCACCGGGTCTTGGTGGCGAAGACATGGCTGGTGCCCTTCGTGACGGGCGACATTGTTGGCGGCAATACCGAGTGATATCCTCAGTGAAACCACAGTTGTAGCACACGGGAGGGTCGCGGTTTATACTGTATACATCAGGACGAATCCTGGGCCGCAGCTGTCGGGGAGGAAGTTTGTTATCACGTGAATAACGAGTTTCTGCCACTCTCTGGAATCCATTGTATTGGTAGTAAGTGTCGTCATCTTAGTAGAATCGGTGCTGTCCTTGCCGCAGCGGGACGTAGTCTGGCTCAGAGTCCTGAGCATAAGAACGCGGCTGTCCTCGTCGTGATTGAGCATCGTAGGTAGAACCTCTATCGTTGAGACGGGGCTGATACTGAGGCGCGGCATCAGAATCCTCAATGCCCTTCGCCACTCGGTTCGAGGAGAATGAAGCAACGTTTCGCTCGAACTGTGGTGGCAGGTAGGGAGGATGAGTGCTTGGGTGGTGTGCCACTTGCGCGAACAGGCCGAGTTCTTCACATACTATTTGCCGGATCGTTGGCGCAAGATCAAGCAGCTGGTTGTTCTCTATACTTGCGATAGTTGTCACATTGGCTAGCCTGCTGAACTTCGGCATGATGCACCTGGTCTTCAGTTCCTCAAAAGTGCGGCAATGGCGAACGACATCGGCGACAGATGTCAGGGTGTCTTTCCCGATGAAGAAACTGTAAACATCCTCGGCGACTCCTTTTAGGACGTACCAGACTTTGTCTTACTCAGACATTCTGGAGTCAATGATCCTACATAGCTTTATAACTTCCTCAATTAATGGACGTACCAGACTTTGTCTTACTCAGACATTCTGGAGTCAATGATCCTACATAGCTTTATAACTTCCTCAATGTAGGTCGTGCAAGTTTTGCCTGCCACTTGCGTGCATTGCATTAGCGTCTGTTTTGCTCTTTTCTTTTTCGTTGTGGGGTCTCAGAAATGAATCTGTCCCACGTAGTTAGAGTTTTCTCGCGATTGTCGTACCACACCAACGCAGTATCCGTCAGAAAAAACGCAACGTATGAAAGCTGAGAATCGGCATCTCATTTGTTGGCGGCGCTCACCCGTTTGTAATGGATGAGCCAAGCCTCGACGTCTTCATCTGGTCTGCCGGCGAAGGGACGAGCATCTCTCAGTTGTAGAGACAGACTGGTTGGCGCTGAAGTCGAGGGGGGTCAATGTTCATCTGCGTTGTGGGACATGTCCAGCCCACATGGATTCGGTGGGAGTCCAGCAAGGCGACAGCTCCGTCGAAGAACTTGCGGTTCAACCTCTGTCTTCGGGTGTCGATTACCCTGCACCTCCACCCCACCTGTTACAGCGAGTTGTGATGAAATGGTTTTTATTTACAAGAGGTGAGCGAGGGTCGTTCGCGGTAGCGCACAGGGATCTTGCCAAGCCTCTTCATCTTCCTTTCTCTTCTCTGCCTTTCACATGTTCGTTACACTATGTTGTTATTCTGAGAATTAAAGAGAGAACAAGACTGTTGTATGTATCGTTGTTGAGTCTTTATTTTAGAGACCATAAATTATTCCCAGTGTTGGCACGCGTAGCATTTTGAAGACAACACATTCACTTCGGGTAGGTGTTCAGGCTTTGATGGGTAGCAGTAGCCATGGGTCACGCTCATCACAGGGACCTTAGCAGACGTTAACGCTTCATTGCACATGGAGCACACGTTGATTTTCAAGATATTGCTGCAGCTAGCAAACTCTCTTTGCAGTTTGCAGCACGCCAACAGTGAAGTTACGATGTTGTTCATCTTGGATGACATCGACCTCGCTCAGGTTGTTGTCGAACAGAAGTCAGTCGCACACACTGCAGCTGTACCTGAACTGCCATTCGAGAAAACCTCGCTTGAATCGTGCCGTCGCTCTGTTAGTTTCCAACATTTCAGTTGTCTCAGACCGCCTCGATGCCCTGGCCGCATACTAGCGTTGCCTAGTTGCTTCGGTGGTTTGATGTTTCCGTTGAGCTTCGGCTTTGCGTAGCCTCTGAAATTGTAGATTCGCTTGCCGGCACTGCTGTTTACGTTCAGCTACGCAAGCTCGCAGTCGTGGATCTGCTTGCCGGTGTTGCAGTTTATGTTCTGTGTCCCGAGCCCTTTTCTGTTCAGCGATGCTGCTTATGCTAATGCTTTCACAGCTTGAGTTGCTGTCACAGCTTATGTTATTTATGCCACAACAACTGGCAAAAAATAAAAAAGAGGCAGAATGTTCCATGTTGCGGATTAGTGTGGGGTGCATGTATCTATCGCCACTCACTCCCTAATGTTGTGCCGCGGCATATACGGAATCTTGACAGCTTCAGGTGAGTGATGATTTTGCATTTTGTAAATCGTGCCACTATGCAGAAGAAAATCGCAGAACTTTTTTCCTTGAGCACTACTTGAATCAGCTGCGAATAAACATTTTTGTTTCTCTCAACATGCTTATCTGCTTTTTTGAAGTTATTGAAGTGTGTGATGCACATAATGAAGTGACATGTAATGAAGAATCACCACATTCCCGTGAGCACCTTAAAAGAGTAGGAGGCGCTTCACAGTGATGCATCAACACAAGTTTGCCATCACAGGAAGACTGCTACTCGCCAAATACTAGTGATACTTCTGCCATTCGTTTGCTGTCAGCCGCACTTGGTTCCCACAGGCAAGAATGAGAGAACTGTTATCCAACGACTCCGGCGGCAATTTTTGTGACTTAGGCTGCATGAAGGACAAAGACTTCCCAAACCCAGTGAACTGTGTTGACTCCCCATGATAATGACCATTGTGGTGAAGCTGGCTTGCAGATGCCGAGTAACGAAAACTTTACGATCATAGTAACCTATAAATATTTCATTTGTGCTGTCTGGCGCAACTGTGTGCAGAGCGTCGATAGCCTATATTATGAAAACGAAAAACGTCCTTTCTGGGGTGCATGAAAATCGTGTTGGTACTCCTTTAATGCAGAAGTTTTATATATCCTCCTGAGTTCCAGCTATGGGGATTTGTCCAAAATATTGGACATGAAATACCCCATCACTACAAAGATCTCAGCATGTTTTCTTCCTCAAAAACCATTTGTCCAATATTTTGGACATCCACTGGCGCCCTCCATGAAGTTTTGTCGAAATTGCGCCAGGAGATCGCGAAACAAAGAAGAAAACATGGTGGCGTTCAACAGGGCAATCTTCTAGAAGTTAAACGGCGAAAGTTAAGGTTCACCTTTCTGTTGGTTTTTTTATTATTTGTTAATTTTTGAATAATAGCTTGCAGTTATTCCGGAATTTGTCACACTTTTCTTCAGTAACCTTGCTTTGTGTTGCTTCAGGCCCACTACTTAACGCTTTAATTAAGTTTCAGCGTCCAATTAGTTGGACATCACGCCATACCAAAAGCACAGGCATAACGGAAATAATAAGCTTCACTTTTTATCTTCGTCACCTACACACCCAGTTGTGAAAGTTTCAGGAAATTCCGTGGACCAAAATCCAACCCGGAAGTCAGGAGGTTATACAAGTTTGTTGCTGTAATATTTTATCTATTTATTTATCATTGTACCCAAAGTGCCCTAGGGCATTACAGTGGTGGGGGAAAGAATACAAAATTTCAACACTGAATACAGATACTCACACTTCTGCCGCACAATAATAATCATCAACTATACATAGCGGCACGTGGGAGTAGACAATACAAGGCAGCTTCACAATACCATTTTGTTCTTATACATCCTCGCGAGTACACTAATCAAGACCCTGAAGTAATCTTGTAAATGCATCATGTGAAGTAACCTCTGCTACTTCAGAAGGCAACCTATTCCACCGCGCTATCGTCCTGGGAAAAAATGACATTTTAAATGCATCAGTGCGGCAGCTTATTTCTCTTATCTTATTGGCATGACCTAGTCACTGTGAAACGTAGGGAATTGTTTTGGAAAATCATTCCAAGTATCCAAATCAATGTGCTAACTAGGTGCCTCACAGGTGAGGTATTAGATTTGTTTGTGGAATTGCAAAATAGAACACATCCAAATTAATTTCAGACATGTTGGAGGAGTTCAATAAGAAAAACACCTGGTGCCATTTAATTGACACAGCATTTTTCACTTGAAATACTGAATGGCATATAAGCAGCAGTGAACAACAGTCAAGCAAGGAATGTTTCAAGCTAGAGCAAACATTCATACTGAACACCTGTAAAGAAAAAAATTTCACAACAGGCAGCAAAAATGTGACAAAATATTTTCTCCCTCTTTTTTTTTTTGTTCCAGTTCCCAACTTACCCAAGGGACCCAAAGCCACAACAACTCCAAGCTTGTTCTCAGCAGTCGACAAGTAGTACGAAAGTGCATCACCAAGAGAGATCTTTAATTTAAAGTCAAGGATAATAACGTGTTTTACACATATTACACCACCACAGCCAGAGCTTTACCAATGAAAGGATACTACTCTAGCCAGTACAATGTCTCCGGTCTGGAAGCATTTATGTATCTCGACCTGCAATAATAAAAATATTAGTCTATGTCAAACAGCCCATTTTATACTAAAAGGTAATATGCTACAAAAGACAAACTGTTCGGTTACCAAATGAAATAATCACAAAAACGGCAAAAGTAAACTCATCACCTAGTTATGAAACAAAACAAGTTGAATGAAGGAGTTATTTAAGGGACCCCGGATTCAACTCAAACTGTTTAGATTTCAAATAAGCGCTTGGATAATGCTCTCTTGGCATATCACAACTCTGCTTCATACATTGTAATAGCAACAGGGTCCCCACAGGACTTATTTGCCAAACCTTGTCTGTTTAAGCATAGAAAATACGGCCACGAGAATATGAAATATACGTAAGCCAATACAAACAGCATAAAGGGCGAGAAGGTTTCAACAGTGGATGCCGATTCATCTGCTAATGACAGGTGTGGGATGTGGCCATGGCCCATCATATTCGCTTGAAGCGTATTTGTGACCAGCATGTGAGCAACATTTTGTCGGCAGCTTGTTTGAAGGCACTAGTGTCACTGCATGCAAGCATCTTGCCAAGTGGAGCTTTCAAATGCACGAGAATTTCAATGCCAACAAACAAGAAAATTGCCCATCCATTACGAATGCCGATATAAAGAAATAAATGAATAAAAATGTGTATTTATTCTAGTGTTTGGATCTGAACACAGGCACTCATGCTCCAAAAGAAAGTGTGTTGAACATAATGCTACGCACCCATACTTGCGAAATTTGAACAAATGTGACCTACATAAATGTGTTGTACTCACGGTGCAAGGGAAATGTAGCAAAATAACACTATCCATGAAGGCTTCCTTGAATTTTCGCGGAAGTGGAATAAAAACCGACAGGTAAGACTATACACACAGGAAAAATTCAAATTTTTGAAAGTTCGATGCCAGACACATGATGCCGCGGGACAGCATTTGAGACGCTCATGAGTACTAGATGAAAGATCCATGCAGATGTGGCCTGAAAACAGCCTTTCAGATATGGCCACTACTTACAGTAAAATGCAGTGCTTACCACTTCGACAAAAACAAAAGAAGATTCTGTGCAAATTTTTTTTGAACATCTTGTGCACTCCCTTTTTAACCCCCCTTAAAAAATGAAAAACACGAAAACCACAATAAATATAATCTTGCAAGGAGATGATTGGGTATTTAACAACAGGATCTACAACTACCTCATTAAAGATGCTGTATTTATAGAAATATTTAAAAGGCATTAATCATCTTACATCGTAATAAAAGTACACCAGAGTTTTTCAAGCGCACAGTGGACACTGGTATGTTATTTGCATTCACGTAATGCACATGGGAAATTTTAATGAAAGCTTTACCCAACTAAGCTAGAACACACACACGGTACGTTCATTTTAAAATACTACACATCACCTACTATGCGATAAAATTTCAAGTTTCTGGGTGGTTCAGAAACCCTTTAAGTGGCCAGCAGTTTGATTTTTATTAATCTCACGTGCAAACTGCACACCCCCTGTTAATGTAACAATACTGGTGGTTTCTGTTGCGACAGTGTAACAAAATATTAGGGAGTGATGCTGTAGTTGATGAAATGTATGCTTAATTAATCTCTGATAGAAGGGACACTAAAGTCAAATAACAATTTATGTCTAAGTGAAAGCGCAATGTATGACAATGTCTAAAAAAACAATGTTATCAATAGCAGTGCCCTACTTGCCAAGAAATTAAGGTAAATGCACAAGAATAGATGCACCATGACTAGGACATTCCCAAAATAATCCCGATGACCTCAGACATGCCGCCTACAATTAATCACTAGTAATCGAACAAGCTGCACAAAGTAAGGAACCTTCCGTGCATCAAGAGAAGTAATAAAATGCTGCTTGTTAGTTTCTGTTTGATCCATGGAAAAAAGAACTGCCAGATGTTACTATGGAGAATGGCACGAGTGGTTCGAAAGTTAAATTTTCGCCTTATTGAACTGGACAGGTCATGCCAACAAGCGGAGCTCAGTTGAACCAAGCATGTCTGCCATCGTGGAGGCCATGGCAAGAAACCGTTTGATGGCCGTTGTTGCTGCTGTGGCTCCCACTACTTTCGTTCTGCTGCTACTGGTGTCGGCGGCTGCGCAGTAAAGCCGGGCAATGTTGTGCATGGCAACAGTAACGTGAGACGTCCTGCTTGAAGCGGGTAATTTGAAGTGCACTAACCCCGTGGGGACCACTAAAATGTGGTTTTATTTCCAAATAAGCACTTCGTTGTCGCAAAAGTAACACTATAATGTTTTGGGACTGCTATTTCAACAATCAACGTCGATTTAATAGTTGCCTTTAGTGTCCCTTTAACATCACAACTTGTCTGCATTATGTAGAAGTGCTCATTTGTTACATTGTCTTATTAGTAAGTGCATGTGCAAATTTGATTATTATACAATTTTATGCAGATACAAGAACAAAAAAAAAATGTATTCAGAGCTTGACACTTGGCATATCAATCGCAGTGGAAGCACATACGCGAGTCAGCCTTCAATTGACAGGTTTAAAAACAGTTACTATGCATGCACCAGTGTGTTTTCCGAACAAACAGCCTTAACCACAGACCAGCAGAACGAACTGTTTTTTTCTGTTTGACACAACCCTTCCTTTTTTTTCTACCATTTCTCCTTTTTCCTCTGCACACAGGGGAGCTTATGATGAGGCGCGACCATTCATGCAATAATTTTTTTAAAGCCTCTATGGTCCTTGCCCCCCTTCACTGTAATAGGGAATGAGGGATTTCATGTGGCAAATATTCTTGCACGAAATCCACCTCACAGGTGTAACAGTGTTTCAAAGTGCATTCTAGGCGGCACTCACTATTTTCGAAATTGTCAATTAACTTCAATAACAAAGAAATGAAATGGCCGTACAGTTAACTCCAGTGTACACCTGCGCTTTTCTCTGACTGACTACTGGTACTGGTCTTCCCGAGCATACGCAGATATCTTTTGTGCCTACCCTTATTTTCTTTCCCCTACAGGTATGCCAATTCAGTTGATTGTTGGTGTTTGTGTTGCATGGTTCTCTTCACTTGTCTCTATCTACCTGCATTACACCCTTTCATAATGAATCCCAAATGAGTAGCTCTACTTTCAATCGTTTGAATCAGTTAAGTTTTGAGTACAATAACATCACTTGCTATCATGAGCTGTACTTTGAAAAGAAAACGAAATCAGTAAGGCGCACACACCTTTGATGTTAAATGTTTGCCCAGCGAATCCCAAGCCTACCCCATTGTGCTTCAATGTGTCAGCAGAGTTGAAAGAAAATAGGCGACAGATACTTCTGTTCACAGAAGACAGCAGCTCCAGCTCATATAATGAAGTCTGGATCTGAAGACAATATGCATGCTGCTGCACAAGTCACAATGGCTTTGCGAGCCAAAACCGAAAGCATTCAAAACTGACAGGTAAATACCAAAATCCCCAAGATGCAGAAATAGTGGGGCGAGTGAACAAAATGCCAATAAAAAGGATTACCGTGTCTTTTTCAAATTCTCGAACATCTTCCTTTCTATAAATGGAGAGAAAAAACATAATAAGACTCACAGAATCAGCACTTGTAGGGAGTAAACTTGTTGATATTTCCATATTCAAAATCAACTCACCGAATAATACCTCTGAATGGTTCGCAGAGCTCACAGTCCTCAATGGCTAAAATAAAGCATTTACAGAATCTGTGTGTGACACCTATGACTTTGACTGTGACAATATTCCCTGGTGCAGGCACATACTGCCTCGTGCAACGATGTACTTCAACCAATGTTTTCTGAAATCACAAAGTAAGCCATACCATATTAGCTTCAATCACACTCGTGTTAACATACAACCCCACCCTTTTCCTTTTAAATTCGCAGAACACCGATTCAAAAAGCACAAATTGCACTCTGTTGAGTCAAAGCTCGCTACATTCAGTGTGTTGTTTTATAATACATCGAACAGTGTTTGTGTGTGTGTGTGCGTGTTGTCATTTGTTAACTCTGATGAAGACTGGTCCGTCAAAACCGTTGGAAAATAAGATTAGGACAACCACTAAGTTGTCTCTTCTCTCTCTCTCTCTCTCACGCACACACACACACTATATAAATATATATATATATATATATATATCACACAAGAGTCATGTAGTACACACAACTAGGCTATTGCTTATATCACGATTGTGGGGAAAGGGAAAATCACAGTCGGTGACTGAACTGCATGGCTGCTTTTTCTAACGTCCCACTAGTGCTGACAAGCACACACACTTAATTGCATTACCGCACCCAGGATTTATCTAATGGAGAAGGGGTTGAAACTTGAGATAAAACTAAAGTACCACATACTAAATAATTATTATAGATTATATTACCTGCAACAACAATAACAACAATAATAATCATCTGAAGGTGTTTTTACCAGAAGCCCTTGAAAAACCTTGAAAAAACCAAGAAACCATTCTATGAAGAAGTGCACGTAGAAAATAAATGGGAAATCGAATAAAACAAGGCAAACATAGTTCTCAACAGAGATGTTTGGCAAATACTTATATTTTCTAGCCTTTCAGCTCTGTTTAGTGATTCAGGTGCTGACGTGTCGGCCGGCTGGTGGTCAAACAATGCTGTTTAAAAAGAATATGACATATGGTAGAACAAACAAAACGAACGCAACAAAGATACATGGTGACAGCTGGTGCAGTGTGCCTTTCTTGTGTCCCAATTATTGTGTATTTTGCCTTTTTACCCAAGTAATCAGTAAATGCGACGCAAACGAGCTCCATTGGCAACTTTAGCATTTAAAAAACTCTAACTCTGGATTTTCTGAATAATGCGAACAGAATATCCTATATATTTAACTTCCTTTGAGCCTCGTCGGACTACAAGTATGAAAGTGCACCATAAATATTTATTATAAGCTGTGAGGTCTTGATTATAAAGAGTATGTACAGCTCAACTGCATTGTAACTATGCTTACCGATTGGCAATGTCATTTGGGGGCTCAAGTTTGGCGGCTGAAGCATCCTCAGTGATGACTAGAGACCAGATTATAGGCAAATGCCTATTGTTTTCCTTGCATTCCTATCATGCCACTTTGATATAAAAGCATGAATTAGAGGTTAAGAAAGGCTCTTATGGTGTTTTTATAGTGCCTATAAATGCCTATTTTGAGTGTTCATGCCTCAATGCCTCTATGTGCCTATAAATGCCTATTTTCCAAATGAGCACCTATATGAGCGCTATTCAAACCCAAATTTTTTTTTCGAGCCAGGTGTGAAACCTTTATTCATATAAAAAAGGCAACATTGATATTTCCGAACCCTACAAGGTTCAACGAAGACAAAACTGACATGCTGCGAGCGATTGGAGGAGAAGCATGAGGAGTGCAAAAGACTATTTCTGCAGCCCGACGTGGAAGCACGTCTTCGCATCTGCAGGAAAAGGAGGACAGAGAATTAAAGATGGGGTAAGAAAATAAAAGTCAAGTCTATGGTTGAGAACAAACGAGAACGCGGCGACTGCCTTCTACAGACAGCTGTCCAGTGCCCTGAAGGAAGTGAAGTGGGTGTTGCTGTGGGAAAGGAAAAACAGGTTTTCTGGGCAGCTGCGTGTAGCTAGAGAACGAATGAAAAACCATGGAGGGCCACTCATGGAATGCTCTTGTTGATTCACTGGTGACGAAGGTCGCCAAATTGTTATACTTTGTACAGCGAAGCCCGAGACAGGCGCTGGCATGTTTACAGTCAATGGTGTATTTAGCAGACATTCACCATATGCCTGAATACACTTGTGTCATATGAGATCCTTTGGCATATGTCTTTAAGTGACAAACATGAAAAAATGCAGAACAGGGCTTCACGGTTTGTCCTAAGCCTTTACTCAAAAGTGAGAGCTCTAACAATATAAAATATTAACTAGGATGGGAATTACTATTATCGCGTTGAATTATACTGCAGTTAAAGCTCCTATGTCAAGCATTTCATGGTAAAACTCGCATTCGAAAATAAATGTAACTAAACAGTCCTCTTCGCGCAATGGTAATTAAGATTTCAGAATGTCGTATCAGGGATAATTTTTCTATTAATTCATTTTTGTTAGTTTCATGACGAAATGAAATGGCTTATAAAGAGAAGATAGTGTGTTGTGTCAATGAAAGCGTGTTTTCTTCGACATTGTAATACATCTGCTGCAGCGCCTTCAGGTTAAAAATGTGATGTGCATGCAGCTTTTGTTTTGTTTGTAATTTACTTTTTAAGCGTCCCTCTTTAGGTGACATGTTAAGTTGCAGTTAGACACTAGAAGTTCTTGCGTGCCCAATGAAAAGCGTTTTACCACTGCGATTTTTCAAAGTGGTTCGCTACTAGCCACCAAAGCATGACGCATAGAAGCAAGCTTGAATCCCTCGCCTCTCGTCCTATGTAGCCACCGCGACCCTTATTCCTTCCTTGTTCTCTTCGGTATCGAGGCTGGAGAATCACATGACGCATACGCACCAAGCACAACATGTGTAAGCAAGGTCAAGCGCGCATGATTTACCCCAGCCTACTTGTGCACGTACGCCAGCGATGTTATGTCGTTTCGGCGTTCTCTGTTCTGTACTACCATTTTCTGTGGGATGAATCAGCCAGTGCAAATACTTTAGGAGAGGCAGGCAAGGATCATGTATTGTGACCGCGATACACCTCGTCGCTCATTTAAACTGCGGTCAGAGACGACACACCAAACACAAGCTAAGCGTTATCATGGTTGGCGAAGGCACAGTGCAGGATCGACGAGAAGACAAACGCTAGCAAAATGGGGTAGTAGTAGTAGTAGTAGTAGTAGTAGTAGTAGTAGTAGTAGTAGTAGTATGTGGGGTTTCACGTAAAAAACCACGATATGAATATGAGGGATACCGTAGTGGAGGTCCTCGCAAATTTTGATCATCTGGTGTTCTTTAACGTGCACTGACATCGCGCAGTACACGGACATCTACTTTTTCGCCGCCATCTAGATGTAACTGCCGTGGCCACAATCGAACCCGCGGCATTCAGGTCAGCAGCGGAGCACCCTATAGCGACTGGTCCACCGAGGCGGACGTGATGTATGAACAGCATCTCGAGGCTATTATCGCTCTTAAACTAATATCTCCATGTGGTTCTGCTGTAGAGCCTCCGCGGTTTGCGGTCGCTTTGAGGAACAAGCCGCGTGCAAGGGTGCGCCTTCTCGCCACTCCAGTGCTCATTGTACACTCACTGTCTAAGAGAAAATGCACGACCACCCTTCTGAGGACACCATTCGCCAGCAGAAAACGCAAGCCCCGATGAAAAAAGAAAACACATGTTTATAAGCGCCTTCTTATATTTAGAACTTTGAGTGGGTATTGTCCCGACGTTTTGGAATGCATACGGTTCTTCATTAGAGTTTAAAGAGGGAAGGTACGAATCACCCGTCCCCATTCTCGGCTGTGGGCAACACATTTGCAGTGCGAGAAGTCAGCGAGGTATTTTTGCTTTTTTTTTTTTTTCAGTAATTGAGTACGTAAGCAGTTCTTCGAACATGTGGTTTCACTTTGAAGTCGCATGCGCAACATCGTTTCCGGTTTAGAACTGGCCCAAGCTCGGGCTTTATCCCTCCTGTTTCGGAGTGCAAGTGTGTGTGGCCGCAGTGAAAGTGGAGGGGCCACTCGCGTTTTATCACCCGAGTCAGCCTTCCACAAATGGCACGTCGCTCGAGTTCACTTCAAATGGGCGATGGTTTCACTGGCGCCTCGGACAACAGAGAGTGGTATGTTTCTGTCGTGGTATGGATAGGGTGAATACTGTTGCTGCATTTCCAAGAATGCATTGTTGTGTTTTTAGAAGAGAATTGATTTTGAATACACAATCTTGGGTAACTGTTTTTGGCGAGATTGCTAAATATATTATGTTTTTTCTCTTTTTTTAGTTGTGTGGTGCACTGTATTGCGGCTCTTTGCATTACTGTCTTTACTACTGATGTATAGCGGTTTTTCAGGTGGTCTGAAGTGAACTGAGGATATCAGTTAGGGTAGGTGTGTTTGCAGTTTTATTTTCAGGTTGCGAGAACATGCAAGAGTGACAATGAGCCTCTGTTTCAAGGGAGAAGTGAATACTTGTTCAATAAATTTATATGATAAAATAAATGCGACTTAAGATCCCATGAAACGACAGTCCTTCAGCTAAATTTGGACCTTGAGAACATACGGCTACGGTTGGAATAGATTAAAAGCATGTTCCTTGGTGTGTTTCATTGTTATATTTGTCGCAGCGACATGCATACATGGGCTCAGAGTTACAAATATTGAAATAGTCATGAGAAAGTTTGTATATTTACAAAATTAATGAATTGTGATGAGACAAGAAAAATAAGAGTCGCACAATGTACCTGGAAAGGCAAGAGTTCCAGTGCTTGAAATACTTCTTTTCTTTTTTTTTTTTTTTGTTTCAGAGGATCGATAGTTAACTTCATTTCATCCTGCCGATTTGAAATATATACCGTTTACACATCAGCAGTGATGCTGATTGGAAACAATTTCAATCTGTAGAAGCGACACGCGTTTGCCTTCGTTCTTACTTCGTGTTTTGAGGAGCTCATTTATCATGCAAAAAGAATGTTTTTCGGGCCTACAACATTTCCGCCTCCATCGGAAATGCAGCCGCCGCAGCCGGGATACGAATGGCCACAAATATTGCAAATGTATGTTACATTGATTGATATGTGGGGTTTACGTCCCAAAACCACCATATGATTATGAGAGACGCCGTAGTGGTGGGCTCCGGAAATTACGACCACCTGGGGTTCTTTAACGTGCACCCAAATCTGAGCACACGGGCCTTCAACATTTCCGTCTTCATTGGAAATGCAGCCGCCGCAGCCGAGATTCGATCCCGCGACCTGCGGCTCAGCAGCCAAGTACCTCAGCCACTAGACCACCGAGGCAGCGCCAAATGTATGTTGCAAATGTTGCTCATTTGCAACATACATGTAAGTAGCATTCCATACAGAGCTGGTTGAGCTGCTAGATGTAATACATTTTGAAGTGACATGCACTGTGCACCGAAGCCAAGCCACACAGCGAATTGTCATTGTACACAGACCCTCTTCCACCAAGAATAAGATAAGAAAGGTTAGACTGATGACTCGTGAAAGCACCTCTTTTTTTAAATAAAGCTGCTTCACTGGAAGTGCACGCAGCTCGAGCCACAGAGCATGCGGTTTCTGCTATTTCAATATAGGAGTAGATTTGTAAATATGACATAATTAACAGAATAAATCAGACAATTTTGCCCTCAAGCTACTTCTTGAATTGCAACGACAACTTGAAAACAAGGCTGCACTTAGGGGGGGGGGGGTCACCTTCAGGTGGGCGAAATAAAACCCCTGATTCCCGCCTCCTTTGGTGGGCCACTGACGTAGGTGACTCGGCGACAAGGACATCGGGGCATATAAGAGGGGGGTTAGGTCGGCCCACCACCCCCCGTCTGTGCACCAATGCTTAATAATGCACTCACCTTGTCTTTTTGACGCAAAATTTTCATCAAGCCTGCAAGACTGGAATAAACATAGCCGTTTTGGACATAAGTGCCGTCTCCTCCAAGAAATCGATCACCTGAAGCACACAGCCTTTGTCCTGTAAATGCAAATGGGACATCAGATGCTCCACATAGCGGTCGCAACAAACGGTTATTGCCACGAGATCCAACCTTTGCACTGGTTAAAAGATTGAAGCTCAAATAAAAAGCAACACATGCAACAGGCTAACTGACGGAATGCGCTCGCTCGCCTTCTAGCCGCTATAGCTTACGCCTGTCTCTTCGGCATAGTAATCTACTTAAGCACATCTACCAGAGATGACAAGGACTTGAAGAATTACAGGCCAATTAGCTTGCTCTCTGTAGTATACAAGCTATTTACAAAAGTAATTGCTAACAGAGTAAAAAAAACATTAGAATTCAATCAACCAAAGGAACAAGCAGGATTTCGAACAGGCTACTCAACAATCGACCACATTCATACTATCAATCAGGTAATAGAGAAATGCTCAGAAAATAACCAACCACTATACATAGCCTTCATATATTACGAGAAGGCGTTTGATTCAGTAGAAACATCAGACGTCATGCAGACACTGCGGAATCAGGGCATCGATGAAGTATATATAAACATTCTGGAAGAAATCTACAGGGGCTAAACTGCTACCATAGTGCTTCACAAAGAAAGCAACAGAATACCAATGAAGAAGAATGTAAGGCAGGGGGACACAATCTCCCCAATGCTATTTACCGCGTGCTTACAGGAAGTTTTCAGAGGCTTAGAATAAAAACAGTTAGGGATAAGAGGTAATGGAGAGTACTTTAGTAACCTGCGCTTCGCCGGTGACATTGCATTTCTGAGTAACTCGGGGGACGAATTGCAACTCATGATTACGGAGTTAGACAAGGAGAGCAGAAAGGTAGGTCTTAAAATGAATCTGCAGAAAACGAAAGTAATGTACAACAACCTCGGAAAAGAGCAGCGCTTCGAGATAGGTAATAGTGCACTTCAAGTTGTAAAAGACTATGTCTACTTAGGGCAGATAATAACCGCAGAGCCGAACCACGAGATTGAAGTAACTAGAAGAACAAGAATGGGGTGGAGCACATTTGGCAAGCACTCTCAAATTATGACAGGTAGATTGCCACTATCCCTCAAGAGAAAGGTATATACCAGCTGTATCTTGCCGGTACTTAGCTACGGAGCAGAAACCTGGAGACTTACAAAGAGGGTTCAACTTAAATTGAGGACGACGCAGCGAGCAATGGAAAGAAAAATGGTAGGTGTAACCTTAAGCGACAAGAAGAGAGCAGAGTGGATTAGCGAACAAACGGGGGTTAAGGATATCATAGCTGAAATCAAGAAGAAGAAATGGACATGGGCCGGGCATGTAGCGCGTAGACAGGATAACCGCTGGTCGTTAAGGGTAACTAACTGGATTCCCAGAGGAGGAAAGCGGGCTAGGGGGAGACGGAAGGTTAGGTGGGCAGATGAGATTAAGTTAGCGGGTATAAATTGGCAGCAGCAAGCACAGGACCGGGTTAGCTGGCGGAACATGGGAGAGGCCTTTGTCCTGCAGTGGACGTAGTCAGGCTGATGATGATGACCAGAACTCACCTGGAATGCAATACATACTGCGGCGACAATTTTAGAGACTGAACATTTAACACAAGTGCGCGCGTCGGCGCTGCACAAAAAAAGTTCCTCTCGCCGATGACTCGTGGACTCCACAGGTTATCAGCTTGTCTTGGCTCAGCTCCGTGTGCTTCTTGTGAACTGAATTTTCTGAAGGCGCCTCAGAGCAACGGCGTTGCTCAGAGTCAGCAGGGCAGCATTATACTTTACTCTAAGGTTTCCTAAAATTAACTAGAGGGGACTCTGCGCTGCGATTGTTCAGCGACCATGGGAATGATTGGTAGTGCACACTTGCCTAGTGTTTCCGTACTTGTGGCTTCGTTTATTGTTGGTTATGGTTTTGTTTTGAAAGAACGAACGAACCCTTATGAACTTTGTGACCCTAAAACGATAAGGTGGTAAAGCGCAACCGCTGAACTTTTGTGAATTTTTGTTTCGTGAGAAAGCAGCTCCAAGCCACAAGAACACGCACGGAGCCACAAGCAGGCCGAGAGTACAAAGATTAGACAGATCTGTGTACTACCCATCATTCCCATGCTCGGTGAAGCGCCGTGCAGCCGTGCGTTGCAGCTCCCATAAAAACTAGCACCAGAATTCCCTCTAGTGTATATTAGGAAACTCTATGGGCAGCATACGGCGTGGACAATTAATGATACATAGAAAATAATAATGAATAACTTAAAAGGGCCTTTTTTTATTGATGCACACTCAGTGAACATAAATATGTAGCACAGTACAGCGAACACCAGAAAGTCCTGGCCGTGTCTCAACAAGAGTGAGGATGCATACAGCAGGTACGACAACAAAAATGATGTTCTAAAAAACCCACTCACTAATAAAAAAAAATGCAAGTCCCACTCTCCTCCACATTTGTTCGTGCACATGCCGTCCCTCGATAGCGCACATTTTGTCCCATCAGACTCCCCCGACATTGAAACGGCGAAGGTCGGGCAGCGGGTCGAGTGGCCGCACGGGCCAAGTGCGCGTCTTCTTGATGGACAGGGCATCGTTCCACAGCTTCTCCAGGCGCAGCACCCACGGGTAGATGTTCTGCTCGATCCACTCGGCCACAGTGTACTCATCGAAAACTTCGCGCAGCACGTCACGCGCTTGATGTATGAGCGAGGTGAGGGTGTAAAGTGTGGACGAGTGTTCTTCAAGCACTTGGTCCACGCGGCTGGGCAGCGTCAGGTTGCGACGAATATTGTACTCCGTGATCCAGGCTTTGCCTATTGTCACGTCGTGCATGTAGTCGTCGGCCTTCTTGATGGCTTCACTGTGTGTCTGCGTCAGGCGGAACACTGCTGAACCTGGAAAAAAGCAGCCATAGCCCTTCTGCCAAAGGTATGGGTCATTCTGCAGGTCCATTGGCGACCGGGAGTGGCTACACTTGAGCAGGCTGTGAAAACGAGACAGCAGTTCAGTGCTGTACGCACCATTGGACAGCACCAGCAGGTTGAGTATCAGGGATGGCAGGCCAGCAGGAAAGAGCTCACACAACGTCGCAAAGTGGTCGTAGCGCTGCCAGCCAGTCACAACAATGCCTCTGAAGTGAGAGAACTTGGCATGCTGCTCATTCATAACTTCAAGCCAACCTTCGTTGTTTTCAAGGTGCATGCGTACATTTGGCACAGTCAAAGTTTCACCAAACGCACCCTTAAATGCACTGGCAGCCCAGATTGCTTCAAATGCTTCGCTGTAGGTAGCCCAGTTGCTGTAGCTGATGAAGCGGTACACATCCTTGACATAGGACCACACCATGGGCTCTACAAGCTTACCCAATGGCTTCAACTTTTCAGCACTTATTTGACGCAGCATGTCATCCCATATAATAGGCACCCTGCCATGACGGTCTCTTACATGGCGTGCCACACGCTGAACATGAGTCAGGAACAGTTCTTCCCGGTCTCGTTGCATACAACGTGAACAGTAACCCATGTGGAACACTTCATCACAGCCAATGTGCAACCACTTGACATTAGGATGCAATTCCAATACCTGATCTACAATGGTACTCACTACAGTGAAGCTCTCATTCCTTGAAGGGCACAGGGCTGTTGGGTGTTCATCAGCTTCTCTTATATGCCTGAATTCTGGCAGCTTAAGCACAAACTCCAAATGTCCAAATGTCTGCACCAGAGGGATCACTTCCAGGTTATTTTCCTTGGCAGCTGCCAGAATCTCTTCGATGTCTGACTTCTTGAAAGCATTCTTTGCACGGATTGGCTCTAATGAGCCATGGTACGGAAACATGTCTTCGTACTCCAATAGGATGCCATTGGCACCAGCTTCTCGAATGAGCAGAAACACCTGCTTGAGATAGGCCACCTTAGGTGGTGCCCCCTTCAGGTCGAAGTGGACAAACCGCAGCTCAGGGATGAAAACTTTGCTCTTCTGGGCACTGTGTACTGGTTCCTTGACAGGCTTGGCTTCACCCGACTTGTGCTGCTGCTGCTGCTGCTCGCCGACCCACCGTTGCTCAGGAGCTGCTGGAGGAGCCATGCCAAAGGGGGAGGCCAGCAACGACTCGCCTCGTCCATTATGGTTGCCCAGGGAACTATACTGGAGCAACACAACCAGCAGCACCACCACCAGCACCACGAAAAGTAGAATGGGCTTCCTGCGCCACATGGCCAAAATAATCTGATGCAGGCACAGCTTCCCTGTGGCAAACATTGCCCTCGCTCACTGCAACAACCTGTAACAGATAATCACAGCATGAGCACAGTGCTTAGCTTGGCTACAAGGAAGACAAATGCCCATTCATAGCTAAATGTTAATGGTTGCATATTTAGCTTGTTTATAGATTGAAACTTCTCGAAGGGTGCTAAATGACAGAATGAGAGGGACAACCTATGGGCACAGATTAACAACAGGCTTGTAACCAAAGGAATGTACCCGCTGAAAGAGCAGCATATTCTATCACTGTATATATCTGGAGAAGTGTGAAACGACACAACAGAAGCAACATATGGGCACGGGTTAAATCCAGGCGTTTAACTGAAAGAATATACACACTGAAAGGAGCGCATATTCTTTCTGCGCATGTTTTCTTGATAAAGGCCTGTTGTAAGACCGCGCACATATGTTGGCCCTTTTGTTAAGCCGTTCAACGCTCTTTCAGCACTCTCAAACGTAAAGTGCAGCGCACATGAATGAACACCATTTAAAACTACTGCACCATGTCGAGCAAACTGCAAATACAAAAAACACGTTTAGTACATGGTTACGGTTTGTTCCGGGACACTGGAGAATCACGATCTCCAACCAGAAGTGGGGGAAACGACTTGCCCCGTCACGATTTCGCATCTGGTAACTCGCACGGCAAAGACGCGCATATGCAAAATTCAGCAGGTGTCAATATAGCTGCAGCTCCCTCCCCTCCCCCGAACATCCGTTCAAGCAAAGCATCACAAGCGACAGACGATCCGATTGTCAGCAGAGCGAACATCCGAGAATACGTACTCTTTGCACAGACGCGTGCCAGGAAACTGAAAATGCAAAACGCTTTTATCAACATGGAAGGTGAATGCAAAGAAGTGCGGCGCCTTTGTACCGATCGCCTTCCTGTTCTCACAAATTGGAAAGTAGTGAGTCCATCGTAACACCTTGCGCAAACTACAGGACGCACATCACAATCAAAAGAACCAGCACCTTCGTAGAAACACAAGACCGAGAAAACCACAGTGGGAGCCATGGCACATTGCATACAAATTTAACCAGCCTAGTCCAACAATTACTGCTATCTAATTATGCAGCATCACACGTTACACGCAGAGCCACATCCAACAACTAAAATTTCTACCGAGAACGGAAAGGCCCCTCGTGGGTGGACATTGTTTCACAGTGCACGCACAACAGAACAGTCTGGGAAAGCCCACAACGTGGTGGAACGCGCCCAACTCTTTTTGAAAGCGATACCCAAATGACACTTCTGAACAAAATTTTTTTATGAAAAAGAAGAAAAACACCACGTTACCCCGTGCGTTGCATGATTGCCGGCGACAACGATGATTTGCTGATAAACGACAATTGCAGATTTGATGGTATACTAAGGCAGGGACAAAAAAAAAAAAAACAATGAAAAGGGTCAAAACGAAGCGAACAAAAATGGATATGCGGATGAAACTTGCAAATGTTCTAGTGTTACGTTGACTCAGTGGTCAGAACGACTCCTTCCTTTTTTTTTTTCTACTTACGTTCTGCAGTAGAAAGGTGCGCCACCTACATATGCAATCATAGCTAATCGACGAAGGTGATAAGAAATGCAGATGCATCTGACAGGATTAAATACTCCGGAAAACGCAAAATCTTCGACAGAGTAGTGATTCTTTGGAGAATTATCCACCACTACTCTCACGTCATAGATATTCTCGCGCAGCTCCGCGCAGCGCCCACACACAGCTCCTAGGAGACTGTGGCCTGTGGTACAGTGTACTAGAAGGGGGCAGTGGAGTGAACGAGGCGGCCGCACCGCATCTCGGCTGATTCTCCGACGGGTGACAGTAGCGGCGGCGCTGTTGTCCTATGGTACTGAAGATCTCAGGAGCGTCTGCATTGGGAGTGCGCGCGTCGTAGCCTGTGGAAGCGTGCAATTGTTCGTTTTTAGCGCGTTCAATGCGTTTCTGAGCCTTTATAAGTGGACTCACCTGCTACGCGCCATGGTGCACAAGTGAATATGCAGGCACGCTGAAATTGCGTTGATACATTGACTGTTCAAAGGTCCTGCGGACCCACAAGAAACAAAACAAGAAAACATGGACAATCGGAACTTGCATGGATCCACCTAGATTCTCACTCAACTAGCGCTTTGAACTGCGCTATACCATAAGTGACAACTAGCGAACCTCAAAGAGAGGAGTAGTATTAAAACCGCGATTAAATCGTACGGTCGTTTTGTCGCCAGTCCCTACGATATCCAGAACATTGTTCCTCGTATGGGTTCAAATGCGGTCAATTGTTTCATGAGAAACCCGAGTATAAGTAACGTTGTTACAACATTTATATCGGTGACGACTAAGTTTTATCATGCCAATTTTGCGGAAGATAATAATTATTGCTTTCTGAAAGGCTTATTGCATATTGAACATATTAAAAACAACACACAAACATATTAAAAAGTGCCAGTTGTATATATAGCCCGTCTGTTAATCTGCGTAAATTCATTGTAGCCAGTTCTCATTTTGTATCGACAGCTTAAATTGTGCTGCTTTCCATATAATCAATGGGAGTTACGCCACTGCAAGCCAGCAAATTATGACAATGTTTCGTATGATAAGTGTAGTTATATTATTAAGTGTCAGAAGTGTAGGCAGGCAGTGGTGCATCTTGTTTTGAGAAATTTAACTTCTATATGTACACAGTAAACACACACACACACACACACACACACACACACACACACACATATATATATATATATATATATATATATATATATATATATATATATATATATATATATATATATATATATATATATATATATATATACACGCATTTAAGACACACGTCACCGCGCCATTAACAATATCCATACAATGCCCCTTAGCCCAGCTATTATCTTTAGGCGGCGCATTTCTCGTCCAACTACCTTAGACTTGAACTAGGTTTAGGAGGTGATACTGTCAAAAAGGTAAAATTTACAATGGGCATTGGTACTGAGACACGCTATATTAATATTTGCCAACTGTAAACCTTCGGCGCAAGGCTAGCACCCAGATTTTTTTATCGGGGGAAGGGGGTGCAGCAGAACGACTAACTTTGGCAATTGGTGGTCGTGTGAATGCGTGTAAATATTTTAGTATACCGTAAAAAGTTAAATTACGAAAAGAAATGTCTAGGTGTAGAGTTCAGGTTCCCTTCTTCTCCCCTCTTTACTAACGGCCTCTTGGATCTGCGTGCGTTTGAAACGGTAATTTTTTCTTTCATTCTCACAGCTTTATGGGTGCAGCTATTTTCAAAAAAATTGGCTCAGTTTCTGTATACTGTCGACGCCTAACCAACGAAGAAAGAGTTAATACAGAATAACTCAGTATGACACGCCCTTGCTGAATTATTTTCGATCTCTCACAAGAGCTTTTATGGAGCTAAAATTCAGTAGATTGGCGTGTCATACTTCAAGGGCTATGACATCGTGTACTAGATATGAATAATGGGCAGGTACGAAGAAATCTGCATCAAGAAAGCGCGATGGAGGAGCCAAAGCGCATAGCAGTCCCTGCACACGGCGCGTGGCTATTTTAGTACTTTTCGACTGCAGCGCCGCTGCTTCGGGCAACGCGGAAGGGATCAGGCAGCGAGGTGTGGTCACGCCGCTCAACACTTCTAGTAATCTCTGAAGCTGGTTCAAGAGGAATTCGGGGAATACTGAACACACTAGGCGTGGAAGATGTAGTCACTAATCTTTTAAAGGATATCTATAAAGGTAACAAGGTAATTATAAAGTGGAAAAAACAGGTATCGAAGCCTGCATAGGTAAAAGGGGGGCTTAGGCAGGGGTGTCCCCTGTCACCCTTATTATTCATGATGTACTTACAAGGATTAGAGGCCAAATTAGAGGGAAGTGGACTGGGCTTCAACCTCTCTTCCGTCAAACAAGGAAAACTCATTGAACAGGCACTATCAGCATTGATGTACGCAGATGATATAGTGCTAATGGCCGACAACAAGGAAGATTTGCAGAGATTGGTGGACATCTGCGGTAAAGAGGGAGATAGGTTAGATTTCAGATTCAGTAAGAAAAAATCAGCAGTCATGATTATTAATGATAATAAAGGTAGTGAGCTTGGGATACAGGAGGTCACGCAAGAGATAACAGATAAATACAAATATCTGGGCGTATGGATAAGCAATGGGGCCGAGTACCTAAGGGAATACGAAATATACGTGTCGACTAAAGGTAACAGGAATGCAGCGGTAATGAAAAACAGGGCACAGTGGAATAACAATAGGGATGATGTTCTGAGAGGAATATGAAAAGGGGTCATGGTTGCTGGTTGGACGTTCAGCAATGTGGTCTTGTACATGAGATCAGAAGTTCAAGCAAGATTAGAAATTAAGCAACGTGGAATAGGTAGGCTTTATTGCCTAGGGCAGGGAAGCTATCAGCAAGATAAAATGTGAGAAGCGGTTGAGAGAAATGGGGGAGGAGCGTTGCGCTAGAAAGGTATTCAGCTACTTATACATGAAGAATGTCGATACAAAATGGAGGAAGCGAACCAGAAAATTGACTGGTAAATACTTGGAAAACAGCAGGGGGCCAAACCAAAAAGAATTATTGGTGAAGAAGAACGTGAAGGAAGCTGATACCGATATGTGCAGAATTGGCATGATTAAGAAGTCCGCACTAGAGATCCATCAAACCTTTAAGCAAGAAATTGCCAAGGAAAGGAAAGGATCTATGATAATACTCGGGGTAGTTCTCTACTGTTTGAGGTCAGGACGGGAGTATTGCGAACCAAGACATATCGGGCCAAATACGAGGGGGTAGACACGGTATGCAGTGCATGCGGAGAGGAGAAGAAAACTGCAGAACACTTGATAATGTTCTGCAAAGGGCTTCACCTTATAGTTCAGGATGATTGCGCAGATTTTTTTTCAAAGCACTGGGGTTTAGGGACAGGGAGGGCAAAATAGACTTTAAGTGGGTAGAATTAACTAGAAGGAGGTTATCTGATTGGTGGCTAAAGTCGAGGTAGGAGTGAAAATTAAACCCTTCACTGCAAAGTACGAATCCTCATTCTCACTATTTAAGGGGAAAAATATAAATCTAGTTTTTGGTTCATTAAGTATTACGGCTTAGTGGCGCGAGCCACCGCCCAATCTAGAGGGTACAACCATAATTATTCATCCATCTATCCATCCATCTATCCATTTGAAGCTTCTAAGAAAGAGCCGCGTGGGGACGCGCGCAATCGTTTATACGTAGGGTGCCTTGATGCCCGCGCGCTCCCGCATCGAGGCACTCTATTTATACGTTGTTTGCACGTTTCCGTCAGTTTCGTCGGGCGCGTTCGTCCTTGTTTCTTTAATTGGGGTGACACTCTGACACCAATGCTGTTGTATGCACTCTCATGGCGCGAAAACAAAGCCATTGATTCGCCCCGGGATCCACTACAGGCTACAAGTCAGCTAAAGAGAAGCATGCGTTGTTCGGCGTTCCGAAGAACGAAGCTCTGTTAGCGCAGTGGCGGAGAGCGATCCCGCGCGCTGACAAGCGGCTTCAAGAAAACTCGGCTGTGTGCGAACTGCACTTTGGCGAGAGGTACACCTCCCGGCACTTTGAGTACACTGTGATTGGCGAAATTGTACGCATTAAAAGGGGCCGGTAGACCCATGGGCATACTTGCCGTTCGGGGGGGGGGGGGGGGGGGGGGGGGGCGAAGGTTCATTGCAGGGCGCCTCCTTCTTATTGAATCAGTGTATGAGGCAGAGTTTACGCCCCGTTTTAGATAACTAAGAGTGCCCCGCTGCCTAGTAAATGTATAGAACAGATTTAGCGCCCCCATCCCAGGCGGCCAGCCGCTTTTGCCCCTCTCGGCCCGCACGAGAGGGGCTTTTCGGAGAAGCTGTTCGCATTTGTAGACGCATTTGAAATCACTTTTTCAAAGTGGTTTAGCTACAGCGATCTTCACAGTGACAGCTTGGAAAAGCTTGTTTCCTGCTTGGGGGAAAAAAAAAAAAGAAAGATGTCACACTGGGATGCGCACAACATGGTCTGAGCCTCACCAATCGAGTAAACAAGTTATTCTGCTCACCCATTTGCGTTTTTACACAAAGGTACTCCACAAGGAGCAAGCATCTTTCCATGAAAAGTGAAAGTACCTGAAGCTCAGGCGAATCACCTAGGCTTGCAGCCCAATGTTCTGTGAGGCGCTCGTGAACTATAAAATATTTTTTCTTGGGCATGAAAAAGGACGTGCGACAACTTATTGAGAATGCATTGTTGTAAACACATGGTGAGTCACTACTCGGAAATGCGTGGTATGACGTGTGTGCAGAAAATAAAAAATTTCATCCAGATACCACTCGTGATTCTCGTCTCTGAGTATGATGTTTTGAATTATGGGCTTTATTTACAGATTAGTGCTTGAGGAAATGTTGGTTCGCCGTGGAAAGCAATGGCTCACAACTGAGTTCATCATTCCACTCTTCTACCACTTCACATCGATAAAATGTTTCTGTGCTG